GTATGCCAGCAATCCAATGTCATATCACCACCCTCAGCACATGACAGACAATGTAAACAGTGCGTTCTTGACCCACTCCACCTCAGCGCAGCATGCCATGTTTGAAAGAGACTATGCGGCTGCTGCACACAGAGGGCTGTATCCACAAAATACACCATATTCATTTATAGACGACCGCCAGTATGGTGCACCATCCAAGTTGTCACACACACATCCTGTTACTCCGTCAACAGTGCCCCAGGACAGAGACTTAATGAGCAGATCTAATGAACCCCAGATGCAGGATCCTTATCGCAGTGTTCTCTACAGATACTAAAAAAAAACCATTGGATTGACTCAATCTATTTCCTATGTTGTGTACATAAATGTACAAATATTTGTATTTTAATATTTATCTTGCTCATGGAAAACTACAGACAAGCATTTTGCTATAATGAATTGTATAACATGCTAAATATTTAACAAAAATCCCTCCCCTTTCCATAAATGTCCTTGCCCCCATTCACAAGCTTGTATTGTAGTGCTAATGATTTAATAATATATTTGTTCTTTCATAAACAGCTGTTATCTCGGTGGAACATTTGTGAACATAATTTAATATCCATTCAATCCTTTTTATGCTTGTGGAAATCTATGGAGCTTTTTGAGATGATACATTACTAACTTGTAATTTTATCCATTGAAATCTTCTCATGTTTATGGGCAATTTACAGGGCTTTTTTTTTTAGACATTAAATATCATTAAAAAGTAGGACATCGATACAACATAGGTATTTAGTTCTCAAAAAAATCTAGGAACTGTGTATCTTTGATTCAAAGTAGGTACTCATTCAACACATATATCTAGTTAACATTACAACTTAGGTAAATAAGTATCAGCACCAGTGTTAAGAATGGTACTCCCAAGACTTTAAAAAAAAAGAGGTGCCCATGAAAAGTTGAATGAAAGAAATTTAATTTGATCCCTCTTCATTTGTTTGTCATTTGCTTCTTAAAACAATCAGTCATCAAGAATACTATAAGCTTCATTATTTGATATTTGTTTTAGAACAAAATGTAGACAATGTTTAGCCAAACTTTAAGACTTAACTGGTCTGTTGACCTCTTGGTTTATTGACCAAACGGGGACTGACCAGGATTAGCCAAAGATCAACACTGTTGCTCCTTTTAGATCATGTAATACCAGCGTCACCAAGTATGGTGTTGTTTGGTGGGCTGCTAATGGATAGAAAAAACTTGATACATTTTTAGGAGTACAGAGCTACTTAAAAATTTTTTGTTCAGCTTGCCTGATTAGGAGCGGAACTCCTGATATGGCAGATAGATTAAGATTTTTAACGTTGCAAACCCAAACAAAAGAGGACACAATACATTGATTTTGCTCACAGCATCACATAGTATCTGTTGTATCTCCTTGGAATGCTGAAATAGGCAAGAATGCTTTCAAGTCATCATCTTGATGTGTTACACAACATTCATGCATTTTCCTGTTTCCTTACCAAATGAAAAGTTAACAGATCTATTAGAAGGGAATAGGCAGCCAAGCTCTTGGCAATAAAAATGCCCTAAAGTTGAAATTCTAGGGAGGCATGGATTCCCAATGTTAGTTTTCCTTCAGTTCATCCAGTGCTAATGGGTTGGGAAAAATAAAGTGGTTGGTCATTTATACTGGCCCACTGAATACTATTGGCCAAAGGGAAATTATGGTCTTCAAAACTTTAAAAAATTATATTGGTTTAGAGTTTTAAAAGCCCTATCCCAAAACTTTTTTTTTTTTTTTTTCGAGTTGACTGTCATTTAGCAATAAAATGTTTCTGGTTATTTCTTTGTTATCAAAGATTTTTTTTTGTAATGTTCAAATTATTTTACTTCCTCTTGCTTTATCTGTGTGATATATGCAAATTGTGACAATGTGAACTATTTAAATACTAGAAGTGTATATAGACATGAGTTTGACAAGTTTTGATTTGACTATTTAATCATATTAAACCACTATTTAGATTCAATTATTTGTGTGCATTTGGTCAATATTATAATAGCTGAGTAATGTGCAGACCAACTTGTAGAGATTGATGTATTATGTAAAACATAATGTGATGGAACAGTTGTTTTTTTATCATTATGAACCACCATTAGTGTAGCTGTTTTGCAACTTACAGAATCTCTTGTACAGATAAAATCACAGTGGTGACAAACATACTTCTACAAGAGCATGGTTTAAGTTTGATCAGTTTGTGACTTAAACACATTGATTTAAAGAGCCACTTTTGTGCTTGGTTGTGAAGGGCTACTCATCTGAAGGCACTAGTTCTCTTGTGATTTTTTTTTTTATACTAAAGACAACCTGTATATAAGCATCCCTTATAGATATATGTGTGGGACAATATCTTTTTTTTTTTTTTTTCTTTTTTTTCTTCTTTAAATAAAAAGCAAATTAATTGTTTTGTTGGAAACATTTTTGCTAATTTCTTTTTTTTACCTTGGTTTCCTATCTGTAAATCCAACTAATCAAGAATGGACTTTCTCTATTATCTCTATTTTCTTTTCTTTACATACTTTGATTGCTTCATTGTATTATTTTTGTTAAGGCAGCATGTTGACAATTGAACACAAACTCGTTAGGCTATTTGTATTTATTTTTGGGTAGTTTCTTCAATGTCTTAGTACTGTTGACGTGTAACGCCAAAGTTTTAATTCAAGTTTTAAGCTTGGGTGCTGTAACCGTTGTACTCAACAACATCAACTTAAGATCTTTTCTTTTTAGTGTTTTAGTATACCAGTATATTTTTAAAAGGCGCTAACCACATTTTTTAATGCTGGCAAAAGTAAGTGCATTTTTGGTCTTTAACTTACATTATTTTAACCACTACTATAAATGTACAATTTATTTGACAATTGATAAATCTATAATATTTGAATACAATTTTTGTTAGTAATTGTCAACCTTATGTTTCTTTCTTTCATGACCATGTTTAACAGATTCAATCTATTGTTCACAATCCATAATCTATTACTGGTTTTACATTTATGACTTTTAATGAAGCATTTTTCTTAGCCTCATGATCAAAGTTTTTCAACAATCTCATTTTTGGTTTGTTCTATTTATTTATTTCTGTTGCTACAGTCATTATATCTATGTAAATAGATAATGAAGACATTTATTGGAGTGTACAAAAGTTACCATTTAATCAAGCTGTCATTGCCAAATTGTGTATGTGTTGACTTTGCTGTAATCGTACCGCAAAAATATCCATAACCATGAGTGTGGTTTCTTTTCAGCATTTTATTTTTAGAGCCTTTGTCATTTGCTGTACATAGCATGAGACCGTGTGACTGTGTGTACATAGATTAGTTGTCATGTGTGTAAGTGAGGGTGTACATAGGCTTGTTGTATACCACTTGATGTGAACATCATTTTTAGCTTAAAGTTTATACCAGGCTGTGAAGGACATACTACAATACCAGTTTTATCTTTTGTTGTGATTTTAAACATAATTTTTTTTTTATATTGATATTTACACATTATATTTTTAAAAAAATGAAATCTTGAATTAGCTAAGAACAAATGAAAGACGAGAGGTTATGATTAAAACAATTTTCAAAATTGTATATTTTATTGACTTAAGATTGATGAAGTGAAGTTATTTATCTTGACACTGTGTATTAGGCTTTTTAATTCAAAAGGCTTAAGAAATGGAAAAGAATTTAAGCAATAGCTTCCCTTTGGTAATATTTGACTATTTATGCTCTATGTTGGCAGAAAGGTAGCTCTCAAATCGTCTAGACTAGATCTTTGAAAATTTTTTTCTTTTTATAAAGTATGAAGTCTCGTCCCCCTTATAGGCATACCCTCAGAAAATATGTTAGTTACAGACATGTTTGATTACTGTTGTTTGTAATTTGACTATTAGTGAAACAAAAGCAAAGTAAATGATGTACTAGAATAAAAAAAAATAAAAGTAAAACAGTTCAACTTGAAAGTAAACCAGTGCTAGTCTCTTTATAGGAACACTCTAAACAAAGATTAGCCATGAGAGGGGCAGAGTACTTCATTAATAACTTATTTCAGCTGCTGACCTATTTTTCTTACTGCTTCATTTAAATAAAAAAATTGTTTGATACTGTTTGATTATTTCATAATTGTAAATGTATGATTAAACAGTTGTTTGGATCATTAGAGCATAATATCCATGGCTTTTCAGAACATTCAAGTTATAAAAAAAAAAGATCAAACTCAGATACAAAATTTACCAGCATTGAGCTGACACCACAGTAAATACAAATCACCACTCAATCTTACTTAATGCTATACACCACACAAACTAGAAGTCATCACACAAAACTATTGTACACCACGCAATATATAAATGATTTTGTTTTGTTTACCAAAAGTTGCAATGTAATATCTTTGAGCTGTTTAACATTTATTGAAAAGATCTCCTTAGATCTTTATTGATCAGGTCAGACAGCCATCATGAAAAGTGGATTGGATTGGAAACTTGGGTGTTAATTTATCCTTATATTTAACTGCTTTCCCCCTACTAGAAATCACCTTTCCAGTATTTCTTTAGAATGGCAAACTTTATATATATTGTTGGTGGCATTTTTATGTTGCTATTGTTGGCAGAGTCTAGTTGAGTAGAGATGTGATTGAACAAACTGTTTACTTGCAATGATATCTGTGAGTACTTAAATACAACTAGCCAACAGAGCCAATAGTATAGAAAAAGATAATTTGGCCTTCTAAACACAAAACTGAATTACATTAAGAAGGGCACAGTCCACATCGTCAAAATTCACTGCATGCAGTCTTCTTGTCCATTATTCTATAACCTTTTTCTGTTCTAACTTTTTAATGTACTGTCCAGTCACTAAGGAAATACCCAATTTAACCCAACTTCTACACATCTTACTCTTGAGTCATTACAATATATATATATATATATATATATATATATATATATATATATATATATATATATATATATATATATATATATATATATATATATATATATATATACACACACACATACATATTCACAGCCACCATGCATTGTTATGTAAAACCTAATTATATGAGTTTGTTATATACAAACTTAATATCCATCATTCTTAACTAAATCTATTTTTATTAAGTTTTCTCCTTAACTGGGGTGAAAAAAAGTCTTAGCTCTGCCACAATTGTTTTAAAAAATTTACAAAAGTAAGCTGTACTTTCAACTAACTATGCTTAATATAATGCGGTTGAACTGTATATTATCCTATATCTTTTGTGTGTGTATTAATATATAGAACAAAAAAAAAAAAAAAAAAAAGCATATACTAAACCAAAAAAAAAAAATGCTTGAATATCAGTTGTACAAAGTTTGGTTGTTGTTTTCTATCTTTACAGGACCAACAACAACAACAAAAGCATAATAAGTCAGTTGAATATTTTATAAGAATCTATTTATACATACACATATTCTATAATATCCATATTTTACTGTAAAACCGAATTTTTTTTTTTTTCATTTATACTGTGTTCATCATTTACTGTATAGAGCGGTTGAAATCTGTTGATATGTTAATCATATATTAAATATATGGATGCATAAAAGAAGTACACAGAAGGACAAAGTATACTATTCTCTCTCTATATATATATATTATACTACCTATTGAAAGTGTGATGACATTTTTATTTTATTTTGTACTGTATTCGATTTCCCTCTCCCCCCCACCCCCCTCCTTTTTTTTGTACATAGTTGGTCTCATTGAAATACATCGTTTAACAAGCTGCTTTATGGTATACACAGCAACCTTTGAACTTGTGTGCCGCCATTTATTTTTTTTTAGTGCACCAGTACACGGTAAACGAGCATATTGTTTACCACTTATGATGTCATGACTACCATGCTGTAGGTCTGTCGATGTGTGAGTGTTGTACAGTCTGTATCTAGACCCAGTACTATAGGCATAACCTCCTCTCCCCCCCCCCCCCCCCCCCCCGCCGATTCTCGCTTCTTCCTCCTTTAACCCTATGTGATTGTTCTCTGTTTTTTTTTTTTGACATTGTAATTGTACACGTCATTAGATAGAATTTCTTTTATTTGACAATTAATTTTAATAAAAAATTGATTCGTAAAAAAAAATATGCATACTTTTTTATTATTATTATTATTAATTCAGAGTGATGAGTTTGGTTTGGTCTCTGCAGTTTGTGGTTGTTGGGTCTTAACTGGAAGTTGAACCAATGTCTTTGAGAAGCAATCTGGTAAAAGCAGCGCTAAACTGTTTGAAGTAATGTGTTTAAAATAATGGTAGAAGTAATGTGTTTAGCTTTTAGAAGAAATCTGTTAAACTGGTGCAACAGAAATAATGTGTTAATCTGGTAGAAAATATTATTTTAACTGCGAGAACTAATGTGTTTAGCTGCTACAGGTTTGAATACTGCGTGCAATTGGGGCTATGCAAGGTGTGTGTGTGTGTAAATTAACAGTTTATCTTGTTGAACTATTTATTCCCGTGTCTTCAAAGTTTTATTTCTGACTTTACATTTGATCAAGTAGTTGCTAATATTCGTTATATTAAATAGAAACATTGTTTCATTCGGTTCGCTTGTTTCAAATAATATTAATTTCTCTCCATACCCTGTGATCTCATGTCGTCAGTCCCTTGACAATACAATAGTATCGGTAATACAGTCGCAATACACGTCTTTTTGTATAGGCGGAGATCGGGTTGTCGATAGTTTGTAGTTCAAAGCTTCTGATATTCATGCTGAAAATATTGAAACCTGACTAAGTGGACCACTTCGGGGACCGTTTCTGAGTTTGCGTTTCCACACAAACGGTCTTTGTAACTTTGTTTGTAGTAATTTCGTCTTAAGTCTCTCCAGTTAAACCTGCAGAGTCCTTTTCAAAAGAGGTTTGCTTGAGACTTGGATTATCATCTTTAAAAAACAACAACAATGAAATAAAGTAAAGTATTCCCTTCAGACCTTGCGATCTACATGCCATCTGTTTCTATTACCGATGGGTGTTATGTTGCCAGCACTACAGCTAATCGCCCTTACTATTCCCAAACTAATGTCAGGTACCTGTTAGAGTTGGATGCCCTAAAAAAATTCCAAAATTAAAAATCTTAGTCTTCACTGGGAAAAATTGAAAAAAACAAACAAACGGTTAGGTAGTTTGCGTGATACTGGTACTAATTAAAAAATAAAACCAAACTTTCTACTTACAAGTGTAATGACACAATACGCGTAGAAGTTGAGTTTAATCGGGTTTTCCCTTAGTGACGTGACGAGTAATTAAAAAGTAGGATTACGAACTAGAGATAGTAAGGGACAAGACGCCTTAGAGGACGACACGACTGTGCCCCTTTTGCTTATTCGTTAAATTGTTTGAAGTTATCAGCCTGAGTTATTAAGTATATTCTTTATTCAATCTGTTGTGTCTTCAACGAACTCACATCAACATCTAGAACCTATAATTATCAACAAATAGACCATCAACAGAAGCTATTAAAGACAAAAGCCTTACACTCTAGAGGTCATTGTCTACACAAGTGGTAGTTGAACTCGTTTGGTCTCGTGCCAAATGTCAGGTAGACGCAGACGACGGATTAAACTCTTTTTACAATTCATTTTTCAGCCCCCTGTTACGCAAAAGCTTTTGTGACGTCAATAACGTCTAGAGGATCTAACTGAGTAAAAAAAAAAAAAACAACAACTATCAAACAATATGAACGACTTTAAGAAACGTGGACAACACACAACACTCATACAAAAGTTTTTTTGTATACTAAAATCTGCCTACATCATCACCCATCTATTATTAGCCTAAATAGTATCAATACAAAACAAATAAGCAAAACATCGGTCACTTATTTAACATTTTAAAATTATGTGTTAATAGCGTATATTAGTTGTACACAATGATGTATGTCGGCTGATTACCTTCAATAAAGAAAGACAAAGCAACAACGTAAAGATTCCTAGATCATTTAAGAACGCACTAGGCCTATAGCTAGTTCATGACTTATTCGATGAAGGCCAAAGTGATAGAATATTTGTCAACAAAAACAATTAGATCTGAACCTTTAGGTATTCATATTTTAGTTATACTAAAAAAAAAAGTATACTGTATCAAATCTGCTATTTTCACTCATTACCAAACACAATTAGGCTACTAAGGCTAGTATCTTCTTTGATTTGAATGAAGGCCTGGGGTTAACTTATAAGATAAGACGATTTTTCGTCCTCACTAGCTAATAGCTATAAGATAATTCAAGTCACCAACAAGACATTAGAATCTATGTTTATTTCATGCTGATGATGTTGGGTTCAAGTCACCAACAAGACATTAGAGTCTATGTTTATTTCATGCTGATGATGTTGGGTTCAAGTCACCAACAAGACATTAGAGTCTATGTTTATTTCATGCTGATGATGTTGGGTCCAAGTCACCAACAAGACATTAGAGTCTATGTTTATTTCATGCTGATGATGTTGGGTCCAAGTCACCAACAAGACATTAGAGTCTATGTTTATTTCATGCTGATGATGTTGGGTCCAAGTCACCAACAAGACATTAGAGTCTATGTTTATTTCATGCTGATGATGTTGGGTTCAAGTCAAGTCGTTAACCCTTAAAGGGTACCCTGGGGTACTGGAGCACCCCAGACAAAAAATAAATTGCAAATTCTCAGCCGCTTTTAACCGGAAGTACGTCATCGTTTGTTTACATTCCTGTCATTATGCTGTGTTTACATGGCTGATAGTGTCGATTTTTTTCCGTTTTCGGTTTTAGCAGGGGAGGGGTCATGGGGTACTCCAGTACCCCAGGGTACCATTAATACTATATGTTTTTTGCTTGATATTTTTTCCAGTTATTTTCTTTTTTTAAATAATTCGGTAGAATATCCGGGTCGTCTCCAAGAAAATTTATAGTTACGCTATATATTTTCTGAATGCTCTAATTCCAACCCTAAAACTACTCACAATCTAAGTCTGGCACATATTGCACAATATTTTTTTGTGTTTTTAGTGGACTGATTCAATGATTTCATAATGCAACGTCAAAGTACTAGTAGTGACAATAAGCGTCGTCGCTTTCAAGCTATTGATGTTTTACGTGCAATAATTGATGAACCATCAGATGATGATGACGGTGATGAGGAAAGTGAAACAGAGGACGAGGTTATACAGGACATTTGTTCGGCTGATGAGGACACAGTAAGTGATGCAGCCACAGATCTTTCACTTGCTACTGGTGCCGGTCCCAGTACTCAGAACATTGGTGAAACTGAAGGGCAAGCTGAAGATTCAGATACAGAACCTGAAGGGCAAGCTGAAGATTCAGATACAGAACCTGAAGGGCAAGCTGAAGATTCAGATACAGAACCTGAAGGGCAAGCTGAAGATTCAGATACAGAACCTGAAGGGCAAGCTGAAGATTCAGATACAGAACCTGAAGGGCAAGCTGAAGATTCAGATACAGAGACTGAAGGGCAAGCTGAAGATTCAGATACAGAGACTGAAGGTGAAAATGCTATTGATTTGTTACAAGTCTTGAAAGTGCCAGTAAATCTAGCTGGGAAAAACAAGTACAAGTGGAGTGGTTCTGTACCGCTTAGGACACGCGCATACCACAGCGAAACAAGGTGACTGGTCAACCTGGCAATAAGGGTGAAGCAAGGGACATTTCATCAGGAATATTGGCATGGTCTTTGTTCTTCACTGATGATTTATTGAATGACATTGTGACACACACAAATGCTGAAATAGTAGTGCAGCGTCGCAGGTATGCAAATGACAGGCAGCCGGATAGTGATGATGATGACGATGATGCTGAGGAAGAAGTTCGTCCATCCTTCACCCGTAATGTGGACATTGTTCAAAGCACTATTAGGCTTGTACTACCTAGCAGGTGTCCTGAATATGAATGGTGTAACCACTTATGAACTGTTTGACAAAGACTGTGGAGTTGCATACTTTCAAGCCACTATGCCACAGAAAAGATTCACGTTTTTGACAAATTGTATCCGCTTTGATGACAAAGGTACAAGGCAAGAAAAAAGAGAACGTGATCGACTAGCACCCATTCGAGAGCTATTTGATAAAATTGTGAACACTAGTCAGCAGTTGTATACACCATCAGAATACTGCACAGTCGATGAACAATTGCTAGCTTTCAGAGGACGCTGTCCTTTCAAGATGTACATACCATCAAAACCTGATAAGTATGGAATCAAGATCATGATGATGTGTGATTCGAAGAACTATTACATGTGTAATGCTGAAGTGTATACAGGCAAAGGATCTACACCAGCTGGTGTTTCAGCTACATAATACTATTCTGTTCAAATGACCACACCCATTCACGGAAAGAACCGAAACTGTACCTTCGACAACTGGTTTACATCTATCAATACAGCTCGAAAGTTGTACGATGATCATGCAGTGACTATGGTAGGAACCATGAAGAAAAACAAAGCTGAAATCCCTCCTTCCTTTGTGGAACTTCGTGGTAGAGAAAAGAACTCAGCAATGTTTGCATTCAGTGGTGTTCTTACTCTTCTATCATACAGTCCTCCTAAACCTAAAAAGAAGATCGTCATGCTGCTATCGACAATGCACCGACGGGGTGACACGACAGAGACAGTGAGACTACCAGATATGGTTCAGTTCTATAATGAAACAAAATGTGGTGTTGATACGTTTGATCAATTATGCCATCGCTACTCTGTATCAAGACGTACGCGGCGTTGGCCACTAACTGTATTCTACGGCCCTCTCAATGCTGTTGGTATCAATTCTATGATACTGCTAAAAGGCTCACATGCAGATGACAAAGAAGCAGTACCAGACAGACGTACCTACCTCAAGACGTTGGCTAAGGCTCTTATCAAACCTCAGATGGAAGCCCGTCTCAGATATCCAAAACTTTCAAAGAACCTGCTCTCGCTCATCAACGGTGTACTCAAGATTGAAC